GGTTTCACCCCGGCTGCGATGACAGCCGTTAATCGCTGTAGTTTGTCGCTGCCCGTGTGTCGAGCCCTTAAGAATGGAGTAAGAAAATTTTACTTGGTAAGATTCTTGAAATACTTGATTTGACTCAATTTTTTCTTATTTCAAGAATCTTACCAAGTGAAATTTTCTTACTTCATTGGCAGAAATTTTTGACTGAATTTGAGTCAAATTTTCAGGCTAACAAGACAAATAATTTTACACATTCTGAAAACAAGATTATTCTTCTTACACAATTAGTTCTTTTTTAGTAAATCTGKCTCAAAACGAGATCAAAAAGACTTTTTGGCTGGATATTAGGTTTTAAAACTTGGTTAGATGGACAATTTTTTGCAGTGAATCCAACTGTTTACAGTGTTAGAGATAAGTGTGCAATAAAAGCTTGTTTTTGCATGAAACATAAATCACCACTRATGAAAGAGCTCACATTCAGCACATACAGAACACAGCAATAAACCAAGTCTGAAGTCTATAAATGAGACAAAACATTTGCATTTATGATAGCAAAGAGCAAATAAGCAATATTTATTCATTCTAAGCAGGAATTTTGGGTGTTTTAACTGTAAGGCTTTTCTGACATGATGTGACTGTGCAACAAAGACAAGTTAAAGTTTTTATTGACATATACACAGATGAAACATATTTCCTTGAGCAATGAAATTCTTATGTTGCTGACCACACTGAATGCCAAGAGACAAGCAGATGAAAAAGAACAAGCACTTAAAAGATACTAGGAAAGTAATAAGGAATAAAGGATAAACAAGACCACACTTGGAACAAAAAGGAGACCAAACTGGAGTTAATAACATCAAGAAAGGGAACAAAATAAAGTGTTTAAAGTGTAAATGTGTGAATGTGCAACAGGTAACAGTCTGAAATGTGCACATGTGCAATATTAATAGTCAGAAAATTGTCACATTCAGCTGTTTAGAAGTCTGATGGCACTTGGGGAAAATGAGTTCTTAAATCTGGAGGTTCTGCAGATTTAAGATAGACAGACAGATTTTAACTGACCAATAATCTTCAAGATGAACTATTCATTACTAACAAACTTTATGTTTTCCTGCGTAGAAAGAAACCAAACAAGTGCATCTTCTGAAATGTTAAACCTTATTATAAATATACTACGTACGGCCAATGTGACGTATATGTGGAGGTATTTAAAAAAAATCAGAAACATGTTGCATTTGTTATAATTTACATCTCCCATAATTTACATGAAAGTGGAAATGGGTCTGGATTTGCTTTAGTCATGTACTTTTGCATTTTCATCAGTTTATATCTCTGTCTCACACACACAGAAAGAAAATTATCTTTCAGTGTAAAATGCAGAAAATCATGAAAAAATAATCGTTATCGACTTGTACTGCTAATGTAGCATGAAGAGTGCACAACAATTAGCGAACGCCACTGGGTTTCTGACCAGCAACCAGTGAAGTTGGGTGTGACGCCATTTTCAGATCTGAGTTTTGACTTCTAAGGAGAATGGAATGTACAATATATAACACCAGACCTGCTGGCAGACACTCCCTTTGAGCAGGGATACAGGAATCAGCCTACAGCATTAAAAAGGTTAAATTTCTTATAGAGGAGAATATCTCATCAGCTCTAAAAATGTACTCCTTATAGCCAACCAAAACCAAAAGCATCTGTTAGTCAGAGACTGGTTAGGGACTATAAATTGCATGAAAGTTGTGAGAAAATTTAAACGTTTTTTATGTTRCAGTCTAACTGAGTTATAAGCTTTGCAACAAAAGAACCACAAAGCTGTGCGTCCACATGCATTATTTCATTGACCACCTACTTAGTTCATTTTGTTCCTGCTTTTGAAGCAACGACATTCAGATCTTTTGCTTTTTGTTATTATTATTTATATAGGTGTAATTTTTGGACTTGAAAATGTTTTCTGTCTGAGAAAAATTCCCCTTTAGATATAAAAAAAACAGCTCTGGTGTCTTTAAAGACACTTGATACAAAATTGAGAAGGGTTCAAAAGAAAAAAAGAGAAAATATGTGGCAATTTTCCTCACCTGAATTAAAATCTAAATCTAATGGGAAACTAGCTGATGATCTTTAAAGATCAACAGTTTGCGAGGTATATTTATAAAAATCTCTTGTAGACAGATTAATTTATAATCAGTGATCATAAACAGATCCAGAAATTGAAAGACTCCATTAGTGGTCAGCTTGTGGTGGTTGTTGGGATGAAGGTTCCTGCTCTGGTTACTGAGTGGTTTTAAGAGGTCATAAACACCATGCATTCATTTGTAACACTGGATTTAAAAATTACCCAATAGTTCACACTGATGTATTGTAAATAAAATGTAAATGTACTTTTTTTGTCATCAATGCATGTTCCCATACAGTGACAACATTTGCACTCTGCAGTTGACCCATCACATGGGGCAGGCAGCTATTTAAGCACCCAGGGAGCAGTTAGGGGTTCGGCTGCCCTACCACTGCACCACAGCTGCCCCCTATATGTTTACCATATTGACTAAAAGTATGGGATTGTTCATCTTCTACAATGACTTTTTGCCCAATATTTTTGTATTTATTGTGTGTTTTATGGGAAAAAGTCAGACCCCCCCCCCAACCCCCAACCCCGCCAGTGGTTCTAATCCTCTTTCATCCATACAAGGTTTAAAAATGAGCTAAAATTGCAAAGGTGCAGATAATATTATAAATTCATATTTTTATGGATTCATGTTTTCGATTTCAGGTTTGAAAGGCTGCGAGTATTTGCAGCACGTCCCAGGATTCGTCACTCCTCCTTGTGCAACAGCGTTCAGCATCAATAAGAAGACTAAATGGTTTTGGTGAAAGCAGTCTTGCATAGAACACGGCAAACATGTAATCAGAGTAATATGTCAGCTGCTGCGCTGTGGGAGCTGACATACTAATTACAAACAGCTGGGAGCTACACACACACACAAACAAAAAAAAAATTAAATAAAAATAAGAAAAAAAAATTAAATAAAAATAAGCTGCCTTCACAACAAATTTCATCAGTAACCAGCTAAACAAGTGAGGTGACCCTGGTTGTAAAGTGCTTTCCGCATATTTAAACTCTCAGCACCCACTTTCAAACTATTTTACTGCCAACAATTCGTCAGCTCTGGTGGGCTGCAGGCTGCAAATCATTGTGGTCACCATCCTCTGTCTTGGTCAGGTTTGATTAAATCCATAAGCTTAGAAGGACACAGTGACATTTTTCATTAGTGCTGCTCGTACTCTTCATGGGAAAAAAGGGAAGAAAAGCTGAGAGGGGTGAATTCAAGAGTTCGTTTCGCCCTCCTGTGGGGTCATTTTAAGAACATGAGCTGCTATCATGCACGCTGAGGCACCAAAACATTTCTAGATCCCACATGTTACTCTCATTATCCACCTCGCCAGCTCGAGCAGTTTCCAGTGAAAAATCTCTGAGGACGCTCTCTTTAGCTGGAATCACGTTGMACAATGCATCCTCCGGGGCCTTCAGGCTCATCACTCTAAATCGCCATCCTCCCACTGCCTCTCTCTAAAGTTACAGCTCTTCAATGCAAAAACTGTCCATCTTACCAAGTTTTAAAACCTAATATCCAGCCAAAACGTCTTTTTGATCTTGTTTTGAGACTAATTTACTAAACAAGAACTGATTGTGTAAGAATAATAATCTTGTTTTCAGAATGTGTAAGATTATTTGTCTTGTTAG